CATGGTGTGACTATGAGACTTTTGGGATGGCCTTGTTTGCACCTTTCCTTTTTCAGTAATGAAATTTTAGAATACAGACCTTTGTAAGAATAAGTCCCATGCTCATCTCCCATTGCATAGTCAGCTGAGCCTCTCTAGATCCATTCTAGAAAGGACTAGACTTGCTATGGATGTACTATTGCCAACCACTCTACACACATACACTATACATTCCCTCATACTGTATTATTCTCACACTCTGCTTACAATCATAGACTGAAGGGCACATCTTCGCTGCCTTGAGTACCAGCATTGCCTGATGAATAGCAAGTATGACTTCCATTTGTTTCAGGTTAACTTGTCTATGGAGAGGACACGTCATGCAAATTAACCCTAAGAAGTCTCCAGAGTGTTATCTTTCTCTTTGCCTACCATTGTGTGACTTGCACTTTAAAATGGAGCAATATTAGTGGATCACAAAGATATGGACTGGAATTTCAGCCACCAGCACCAATTAGCTAAGATCGAGGACAGGAGAAAGTTTTTTGTTTTTTGGGGGTGGTCGTGGGGCCTGAACTCTGGGCCTCAGCGCTGTCCCTCAGCTCTTCAGCTCAAGGCTAACACTCTACCACTTGAGCCACAGTGCCACTTCCAGCTTTTTTCTTTTTGCTTATGTGGTGCTGAGGAATTGAACCCAGGGCCTCATGCATGCAAGGCAAGCACTCTACCACTGAGCCACCTTCCCAGCCCAGGAGAAAGTTATTAAGAATGAAGGAGGAGGAGAATTATACCTTCCAGTTCCATTTTGACTTACCTAACATGAGCCCTGTTGGGATGGGCCCCTCCTGTGTTTCTCACTTACAAGGCATGTTTAGATGAAGAGTAATGAAGGGATCAAGAGCTTAGCCCTTGATTGACAACAAACAGGACGTCAGATATTAGTAGAAAGAAACAACTTCACTTTTCTCAGAATGCCCTCTCTTGCCTCTAATGTATGGTAACATTATGCAGTGATACATTGGTGCCATTATTGGTGAATTATTGTTTTGGATTTTTTTCCCTACTGTTATCAAACAATGCTGTATGCCTCTAGTTCTATTTATGTCTCTTTTTTTCAGAGTATCAATACGTATGTCACCTTTAAGAAAATTGTTTAATGAAAGTAGCTATCTAGATTCTTACAGCACTAGAAGATTTCTGAGCTTCACTATGACAAAAGAAGCTGAGATGATAAATCTGTGTTTTTCTGTAATTCTAGCTATTCAGGAGGCTGAGAGCTGAGGATCCCAGTTCAAAGCCAGTCCAAGCAGGAAAGTCTGTGAAATTCTTATCTCTGATTAACCACCTAAAAGCCAGAAGTGGAACTGTGACTCAAGTAGTAGGACACCAGCCTTAAGTAAAAAGATAAAGAATAATGCCCAGGCCCTGTGTTCAAGCCCCATTACCTGTGTGTGCGTGTGTGCATGCACACACACAAACACACACATACACACAAATGTATGTATTTTATTGATTTTTGTTGTTGCTTCTGTTTTGTTGGTACCAGAGTTTAAACTCTGAGTCTCATACTTGCTTGCCTTTGTTTGTTCAGTTGGCATTATTTCACTTGAGTCATGTCTCCAGCCTGTCATTTTGCTAGTTATTTTGGAGAATGAAGTCTTTCAGACTTCTCTGCCTAGCTTTGAACTGTGATTCTCTGGATCCTGGCCTCCTCAGTAACTAGGATTATAGGTGTGTCCCACTGATGCCAGCTACTGATTCTTCACAATCATTCTAAAAATTGTGTAGACACAGCTACAAAAATTGGATAACTGCAGAAATGATAGTAATTGCTTTAGTACCTATTATGATGCCAAGATGCATAGCACAGACTTCCATGGTGAGCAGTTAAATCAACATAAGCTGTGTGGATAAAGCTTTAGCAAAGGAATCCTACTGAGAATATATAAATTAAAAAAAAAACTTCCTTCACAGCATAAAACATTCCTTAAGTTCTACTGTAAATTTTCATGGCACTTCCCAGACGTTTCATGAAGTAGAATGAGTATTCAGGGAAGAGCCAATTTCCAAAGAAAGCTGAGTCCTCCTGTTCAATACCCAGCTAGACAGAGATCATTTCCTGCCTGTGTCCTACCTCTACCAGCTTCCATGAGGCAGCACCGTGCACCAGCGCAGAGTACCTTTGTCATTTATGTCACTCATACATTTGTCATTTAGGTCACTCAACATCATTCTTTTTTTTTGTCCTGGGGGTGACTTTATTTTAAATTATTATGAAGGTGATGTACAGAAGGGTTCCAGTTGCATAAGTCAGGAAATTAGTGCATTTCTTTTTAGTCAGCATCACACCTTCCCACACTCTCTCCCAGTTTTTCCCTCCCATGCCCATTCACAAGTTATATCGTTCATGTTCTACATCGCATCCAGTGAGGACCACTGCTGCGTTTGTTCACCCCTGGTCCCTCCATTTCTGTGCCTCTCCTTACCCTCCCAAAGACAAGCAGATCAAAAGAAAACAAAAACAGCAAAAAAGAAACAAAAACCTCATTTCCATTTCCTGGAGTTCATTCAATAAATATTATTTTCTGTGATCAGACATGTATAGATATTGTGCCTTTGTGATCCTGTCCTAGGAGTGCCCTCCTTTGGTTTCACTATTCAACATCATTCTTAAAAAGTCAATATGATTGACCTTAGTTGTGTGTCCATATTATACCTTCAATATTCAATTCTCCAATATGTGCACATATTACACTTTACTATTTATACTACTGTTAATAGATGTTGTGGTGATTCTGTTTTTACTTAAGGAATCAGTATGAGGTGTTTATCTTTTATGTGTGTGTGTGTGTATGCACACACACATGTGCAGGCACACACATGCACATGCCAATACTGAGGCTTGAACTCAGGACCTCTCTCCCTTGGATTTTTTACCCAATGTTAGCACTCTTTATCACTCGAGCCGTACTCTACCTCCAAATTTTGGTGATTAATTGGAGATAAGAGTCTCATAGATCTGTCTGCCTGGACTGGCTTTCAACCATCTCAACTTCCTAAGTAGCTAGGATTCTAAGTATGATCCACTAGTACCTGGCTAGTGGTATGTATGCTTATCAAGTGTATTTAAGTTTATCTGTTGAGTATTTACCTAGGAATTCACAGCTTTATCACAGTATACATATATATTCAACTGTAATAGACACTACAGGACAGTTTTTCCAAGTAGTTTGTACCAGTTTTTAACTTGTTTGTGCAGCTCTTATTCAGCCAGTGATATTCTCGGGAAAGCAAATATAATTAGATCACTTTTTTTCTTCATTGTACATTTCAAAATCTTGATTGATAGTTATACAGTAGGGATGTGACCCATTTAAATGTATTTGTCACATAAAATAGAATGCTCTGAGTAATGAATCGTAATAAAAAATTTTCTCTAAAGACATCAGAGCAAACACTTGGTATTAAAAAATGCTTGCAGGCTCATTGCAAAAGGAATAAATTTACCAAGCTCTGTAAGGGAATGTGCATGCAGGCAATCTTTCAAATAGACAGTTTCAATGGAAGTGTTTCAACCTCAGTTATCAAGCAGTCAGCAAAATTCCCACTGGAGGGCTATGCCCAAGAGTGGGGCTATTGGATATCCTATCTCAATCCTCTTAACTTTGTAGGAGCCTTAAACTCAATCTGAGCATTTTTTTCTCATTTACAAAATAAGAATCCATCTCTTTATTTATTTTTTTGGTTGGTTGTGGGGCTTGAACTCATGGCCTGGGTCCCTGAGCTCTTTTGCTCAAGGCTAGCACTCTACCACTTTGAGCCATGGCGCCACTTCTGGTTTTCTGGTGGCTAATTGGAGTAAGAGTCTCACCAACTTTCCTGCCTAGGCTGTCTTTGAACCACAATCCTCAAATCTCAGCCTCCTGAGTAGCTAGGATTACAGGCATGAGCCTCTGTGTGTGTGTGTGTGTGTGTGTGTGTGTGTGTGTGTGTGTGTGTGTGCGCGCACGCGTGCATGTGCGCGTGCGCCGTGGCTTGAATTCAGGGCCTAGATTCTCTCCATTAGCTTTTTCATTCAGTGTAGGCACTCAATCACTTGAACCAAAGCTCTACTTCTGGATTTTTGGTATTTAACTAGAGATAAGATTGTTACAGTTTTTCCTTCCCAGGCTGGCTTTTAACCATGATACTCAGATCTCAGCCAAGCAAAAGCCAGCATATCTTCACTTTTTTAACATTAGAAATATTTCACAGTTCGACCTCAGGGTTTTCACTAATTAAGTCATTCACAAACCTTAAAGGTTATTAGCCTAATAGCTACTGTACTAGTTGTAAGGTAGATTTTTGGTAATTTTTGCTTCTGTCTTATCAACTGTTAACTAAAGGCCAATGAATGAAAGGCCCAGACTACATCTTCACCCTCGGATTGTTGGATATCAGTATGTATTGACCCGGTTGAACAGTACTGTTTTCCCTTGAGATCAGATAATGTTTATCCCTAACTGGCTCAAAAATTGTGTTATGTGCATTATGTATATATTGTGTATATTATGTGAACAACCCCAAGTGGTTCACATCTGTAATATTAGCTATTCAGAAAGCTGAGAGCTACAGATCTTGGTTCAAGGCCAGCCCAAGCAGAAAAGTCCATAAGACCCTTGTCTCCAATTAACCACCAAAAAGCTGGGTGTAGAGGTGTGACCTTTGTGGTATAATAACAACTTTGAGTGAAAAAGCTAAAGGGCAGTGCCCAAGCTGTGAGTTCAACCAAGTACTGGCACAAAATTTGTATTGTTATATATCTTGGTGTGTCTGCTTTGTGGTATTGTGGTGTCTTGGAAAAGCTTTGATATGGCAGAGTATGTATAACTACCAGTCTGCTTCTTCCTTTGGGCATGTTTTCAGGGCTACACTTTGCTAAGGAAAAGGTTTTGAATGTGTAGTAAATGAATAATTATCCTTTTCATTTTATTCTATTTCTTGCTCCATTTTTTTTTCTGTCCCCATTATACCCCATACAGTGCGTTTGGCGGAGTTACGCAGCTGATGAGAAATCTGTTTCCATCGCCACCTGGAAGCCACACTTGAAGGCCTTGCACACCTGTAGTCCTACCAAGTAGGTATCCATGCAACAGCTGGTGCTGGAGCTGAGTCTCTTCTAGTCTTCTCAACAAGCCATGAATGCACACAGAGAAAGTGTTCATGTTGGCTTGTCTCATTCTGTATTGTTTGGATCTTGGTAGTAGCAATGCAAGTGCAACACTGAATGACTCCTTTCTCCTTCCTCACTCTCCAAAGACCTGGACTGAAGAGGAAAGGAATGTAATCCTTTTTGTAGGGATGTGTCTACTATTTCATGTTCACATCTAATCATAAAGCCTGTCAGAATTCCAAAGGTAAGAACCACAGTCTACAACTAGAATAAGGATTATTTATCATCTGCTCTTGAAAGCAATGTGTCAGTGTACATTCATTCGGCCTAAGTCATTTCTCTTCTGGATGTCCTTACATTTTCACTTACGCTTTCACTTGGCTGAGCAAACAAATATTAACAGTAGAAGTAGAATTTACAGGAGGCAGTGGACCAGTCAGATTAAAATCTGGAGTTAGCATTCAAGCTTTCCAAGTCATACTACTTCCCTTGCCATTGCATCGTCCAAAGGTTATCCACCATGCCTAAACCCAAGGGAACCGAAAAAGTCTCGAAGGAAGGCACGATCTGAAATCTTATTAATGGTCCTAAAAATTACCAACCACAGTGATTTTTTTTCAAAAAAGTTAATGTCTTCAGGCAGTGTCCTGAAGTGTAGTTCAACTAGCAGAGTACATATTAAAACATTATCATCATCTAATTAAGAAAATAATTATTGAAACTCCAAAGCCAGTAAGTCAGGAGGAAGATTTTTCTGAGTCACTCAACTTGATGAAAGTAGTCAGTTCTACAAGTTGTTCAAAGGCTATTAAATTGCTTATCTAGCTCAGTCTTTTAGAATGTTGGCTATTTCCATTCATAATGCTACAAAACCTCAATCTCAGTGTGTTTCCTGAGATTTAAGGCACCTCACTACAGGGGCTCAGGGTCTGGAAGATCAGCAGGGGACACTTGAACTGGGTTCTTGGCATGGCTGTTAGTGGAGCTGTGTGATATTGTATCACACAATCCAGCAGGAAGTAGCAAACGTACCATCACCACACAGAACTTGGTCAGCAGCTTCCTTGTCGTGCCCTGGGCCTCGGACAAGATGATCCCTAAGCATTAGCGGGACAGATGATCCCTAAGCATCAGGTCAGCTCTCCTAGAGGTCAGTAACTGGAACGGTCAACATTGGGGCACAGACATTCATGGTCCCACCCCCAGAACTTTAGAGACATGGAATTCTAGCAAAGATAGAAGCCTCGAAGCCTGCTGAGTGAAGGTGTGGATTCAAATCCTCTTTCGTTTTCAATCTTGGAATTTACTGGGATCTTTTTTATTGACTATTCAATTTCTTTGAAAAGGAACCTCACTCTGTGCCATCTATTCCTTGAGTCTGTGAATCAAAACTGAGAATTTCATGGAAATTATATATTGCTCATCTTCACAAAGTTTCTTCGATAAATGTAAAAAAAGAAGTCTTGTAGGGAAACTGTTATAGGCTTCTCAAATGACAGGAGAGTAGTTTAGTATCTTCTATGATTATTCACATTTTGGATTAAAAGTCATTCTGAAGCCTGAAAGAAGAAAGAACCATTTAATAATGAGTCAAATTCTCCCACTGCATTGACTATTATTTTACTCATGTAATTTCTTCTTTTCCTTTGATATTTTCCCCATTTAAATAAGGGTGGAGGTGGAGTGGGATAGAGCAAGCGCCTGCTCTCAGCCTGTTGCTCTCACTGAGCCTGTCAATCATCTTTAGTCACCTTTCCCTGCTACCTCATTCGCCTGGGTCTCAGCTTCGTTTACTGAGAACCTGTCATTTGTCCACAATGACGCAATAATCACTGGCAAAATTCATAGGAGTCTAGCTGTTGTGATGTCTCTCCCTCTAACAATACTTCATTGTTGTTGTTGCCGTTGTTGCTTATTTATGGTTGCTTGATAACCCCAAGAACAATATTCCATATATCATCCAACTTTGCCCTCATGATTAATATATTCACCAACTCCCTGAAGCCAATTTCAGACCTTTGCCTTAGAAAGGAGTTCTAGGTTTGTGAGGAGAATAATTGCAATGACTTAGAGGGATGTTTTTAGATTTATAATTAGCTGGCTGACTGTATACAAAATGACTAGTAAGTGATGGACCAGAACTTCCTTTATTTACACAGTGTATTTTCCTCTAACATTCAGAATCTAAGGAAATTCTAAAGAGAACAAGCAGTTGGTCTTCAACATATACATTCATCAAAAATTCATTGAACACTTGTTACGTGGAAGGTCCTGTTCCAGTCACTAAGAATGCAGTGGATAGGGTGGGGAACGGCAAGTTAAAATCTCAAAGCTCAGCAAATATATATTCAAAGAACATTGGAGGTGACATATAAATATGTAAACTATGGAACACATATGATGGCAACAGTGCTGAGCAGAAAAGTAAACTAGAGAAGCAAGCACATTGTCAAAATCGTCATCACCACTATCAAAACACTATTGTTACTAGAAAACCCGTGGGCTGGGAATGTGGCTTAGTGGTAGAGTGCTTGCCTAGCATTCATGAAGCCCTGGGTTTGATTCCTCAGTCCCACATGAACAGAAAAAGCTGGAAGTAGCACTGTGGCTCAAGTGGTAGAGTGCTAACTTGAGCAAAAGAAGCTCAGGGATAGTGCCCAGGTCCTGGGTTCAAGCCCAACGACTGGCCAAAAAGGAAGAAAGAAAGAAAAAGAAAACCCCAGCTCCATTGCTTGGTTCCCCACAGCTTTGGTGGTACTGTGGGATGCTTTTGCTCCTCAAGCTTTCCTTGGGGAGTCGTGTGAAATCAAAGCTTAAGAATCAACTGTAGGGGAGAAAGCAATGGGTGAAGAGGCATGCCCCATCTATTCAAAACCACCGGGGAGTCAACCAGGAAGTCTCTTACTCTCTTTTCAGGACTATTTTTTTTCTCTTACATATGTCTTAGAGGTCTCAGTCATGGCTATTTCAAAGTTTTAATGACAGAGGACTTAGAGAAGAAATTATTTGTCCTGATGTCCTTCTTGAAGTGAATAAAGATTAATCACATGATCAATATGCTATGTGAAAGAGAAGGGGAAATATTGTACAGAGTTATTGAAAGTTATCACACTCTGAGAAAAGCCCAGTGGCACTTAAAGAACAAAAGTTACAGACTTGGTACTATAATGCCTTCTGTTTTAAACCTTAAGAAACCCAAGACCTACAAGAAAGCGAGGTGTGTATCCAAAAGCCCACAGTTAACTTACAATGAATAGAATCCCTGCCATGGTGCATAGACCTAAGTTGGCCAAAATGGTTTATTTAAAATACTACCCAGCAGAAAACCAGAAGAGTAGCGGCAGACTTTCTATGAATCTGACTTACTCCATGGGAACTCATACTTTACACAATGGGAAAAAAAATAAATCTGCCTCAACCAGCGATTGAAGTACAAAGCCATCTTCACAGATGAACACATCCAAATTTAGATCCCCAAAGTCTGCCTGAGGCCCCAGTGTAACCAGAAACAATCTGGTTAGACCAGACTCACCTTTTCTTAACCCCTGGCAAATGAAGAGTCAATCTGTGCTGATTGCCTAGATATGGGTAAGACTGGATTTGCCAAGAAATGTTGTGCTCGCTCATTCCTGCGCCACAGTGAATGTGAGCTATGAAGTGGGGTGCATTTATGCTAAGCAATGTTGTTCTTGCGGATCATTCTTGAAAGGGGTTACTTAAGCTACTTGCTTCCCTAATCTCCAATTGGGCCATGAGCTGGTGCTATAAATGTATTCACAAGTTTATCATCATCTTTCTTCTGTCCTCACGCACCACAGGAAAGAACAAGGGGAATCGTCAAGCAGGTTTGTGATTTCTCTTTTGCTACATGTTTGTTTATAAATCTGATGCCTAACAGATGTTTCTAATGTGTCTCATGAGTAAAATCGATCAACAAATACAAGAAGATTATAAAATGACCTTTCATAAGATGGCTTACAAAGTTGGCTGGTTTTTTAAAAAATTGATTTTTCCTTCCTTAGGAGCAGCAGCATCTTTCCCTAACCTACTCATGAGCTTTTAATAACCTGCCAGGTAGAAAACAATCTAGGGTTGAAAATCACTCTAGATTTTTGATCATTCCTTCTTGCCATTTTTCTTTACAATATTCTTATCCAACTCTTCAAATGTAGTGATGTAGAGAATTAAAAAGCAAAACAAAAGGAACTTCTTTTTTTTTTTGTCGGTCGTGGAGCTTGAACTCTGGGCCTGGTCGCTGTCCCTCAAGGCTAGTGCTCTACCACTTGAGCCACAGTGCCACTTCTGGTTTTCTAGTGGCTTTTTGGAGATAGGAGTCTCATGGTCTTTCCTGCCCGGGCTGGCTTTGAATCATGATCCTCAGTTCTCAGTCTCCTGAGTAGCTAGGATTACAGGTGTGAGCCTCCAGCGACCGGCAAAACTTTTTTCTGAACATTACAGATCTGGATAACAGCCTAGGCTTCACTGTCTTTTCTTTGGAGGGAGAAAAGTTGTATTTTATTAGCTTTGGGTATTTTTTTCCCCATTCTTTTGGCAAGAGGAACATTGTATACAGGAGGTGACAGTGTTTGTAATGGGTCATTATCGGCCCATTGAGCATGGAGGTTTACTGGGGTCAAAAGAAGGCTCCATCTTTCTCCATCTTTCAGAAAGATGAGTCTCCCCCACACCCCGAAATTTCCTCAAATAGCTCGTGATCATTATTCCCTCCTCTAGAAGGAAGTGCTTTAAGGGATTCAATCTCACAGACTTGAACCTAGAAGGAATAGAAAGCAAAAGTAATCCTTGTTCATGAGAAACAGGAAGGGTCTGGAATTGGAAGCAAAGTCCTCAAGGACAGGGCCTTGGCAGATCTCAGCACTGATAGCGCGAGAACTCAGAAAAGGCAAAATCCGCAAGGGAACACCTAGTGCTTGGAAGGAAAAAAAAGGGTGCAAGCTTCTTGT